TCGTACTGTTCACCAAAGCGATCCTTCAGCAGAGCAAGGCACCGAGCATGCCCTTCTTTGCTGGACCATGGAACTGCCCCATTGCAAAAACAACCAGGTGCCCCACCAGCTTGCATACTTGCCAACATGGTGCCGCGGGAACGGTAGCCACACTCTCGGCAGTCAACATCTACCTTGGAGTACGCGCTCTTGATGTTGGCCTTCCACCAGGCCCAGTCCATGCGGCTTGCATCGTACTGTTCACCAAAGCGATCCTGAATTAGCTGAAGCACTCTTAGCCAGCCATCCCTACTTCGCCAACGAAATGCCGGCCTCTTCTGCCCCCCATCTTCCCTGGCATGCAGGGCGGTTGAAGGAACAGAGCTCCTCTTGGCTGCAGTGCAAGCTCCTCCGAGGTGAAAAGGGCCAGGCCAAAGCTTGCCTGCAGAGAATCCAGGATTCCACCTGCCCGGAGGCCGCCAGAGGCCAAGGAGCACTGCTGCCAATAGAAACCTTGGATGCCAAATGAAGCTTACATTGCCATACAGGGCCAACCCTAACCGTTAAACCCATAGACCCTAGAACTCTAAAAGCCTAAACCCCAAAACCTTAAACCCTGAACCCCCCAAAAAAACTTAAAACCCTAAAACAACTTACTTGGTCCCCTAGGAACGAAAGAAGTGACGCCCTGGAGCGAGCCATGGGACCAAGGTCAGGTCTAAGGCTTGCAATTTTAAGGGGTACCCTTAAAGGGGGATATAGGGGTTATTTAGGGGCTATATGAGCTTATATAGGGGACTACTATAGGGTTATTAATGGGGATACTAGGAGTTTAGACTATAGCTCATATAGGAATTACATAGGCGTTACATAGGGTTTAGGGATTAGGGTTGAGGGTCTAGGGAAGAGGGTTGCCTGAAATTTGGGGTACCATTGGGAGGGTCCCATACTAAGGGCTATCGTATATTGCAGTCTGTCTTAGGTTCCCGTCTATATTGGGTTCCCCCTGTTTTTGGGACACGTACCTGTCAGATCCCTCTAGGTTGCTGCGACTCCTACAAGAAGCTTGGCCTTCTAAAAGTGGTCATCACAAAAGGAAACGGCCCTGTCATATTCGCGGTAAGGGTTTAAAATTTTGGGGATCATGAAAGGCCGACTTGACTGCAATGGTATGGGTGGCCTGTAGTTCGTGGCCCACTTTCAACAATTTTGCAAGAACAGTTGTCTCTGGCACTACCACCTTCTGGGTACAATCTTTCGAAACTTGCACAATGTAAATGCATGTCTGCCTGAACTACGGGAATGTTGAAGAAAATTGCTTACGCCGTCCACTGTGACACCCAATGGAGTAGCCGTGTTGCAAATCGTTCTCGAGATGCTATGCAAGAACCACATGCTGGCGTTAGTCTGAGCATTGGTGGCTGCGGAGGCAAGGCATGTTGGACTCCTTGCGCGATGTAGGGGTTTAGATATTTGTACTAATGGAAAGTCAAATGACAAGAAAATGGAAAATACAATGGAGAATGAATTTACACAGGGATTTATAGGTTTTGTAGTGTAGCAGCGTAAATACTTAAATCTAGGTTTTGGGGGACATTCGACTAAAGTTGTACAAGGATGGTGAGGGAATACTGTTAATACTGAGGCCAGGCTCCTCGCCTGGTTGCCCAACAACATTGTCTTTTCATGGCCATATGGGCTATAGTCAATACTCCCCTCTCATCAACGGACATGGGTTCCCTACTATTGGGGACTATACTAGGCGCTATGCTAAACTACAAGAGGGACCCATATGTCCACGCGCACTTAGTAGCGCTAATATTGACCGCAACTCATATCAATAACAGGGGTCCACTGCATCAACACATCGATCTTAGGGTAGACTGGTAGACCTGGTCCCAGGCAGCCAAAGACCCAACGGGATTCACAGGCTCTGTAAACCTTGAATGGTAAGAAAATGGGAAGTTTCATGTAAGGCTTCGCAAGGCCAAGCGCGGTCTGATGTCAGTAAGTATTCTTGCATCTCGACCCCCTGAATGCAGTATTATAATTTTCTCCTGGTTGGCTCCCGTTCAGACGTTTTTGCACGATTTTAAGCTTCTGCCCATGCCCAGAGTGAACATTGCAGAGGGGTCATGTTTAAGGGAGGATTTACCTTGCAATGTGACCTCGAAGGTTATACACTCTAACCCAACAAACCCGAACTCTCCTCACTGTTCTCAAGCTCCAACATCCGCTGGCGGAAGGCACAGGCCCCGCCAACTGGCAAACCTGGCGCCGATACTTGACTACAGTCCCCCGTAAGTAGATAGAATATCGGATATACTAGGGTTATATTGGTGTTATATGGGGATAATGGATCAGAAAATGGAAGCTATTATATTACAATAGGGTATATATTGGGGTTACAGACCTCTTTTTTTGAATGCTTCCAGGGTCGAGGGTTTAGGGGAGGTCTCCTTGCACCCTCAATTAAAGAATAGCCCTTTTTCTTGAGGACCTTCAAAAAGGGACCATCATTTTTGGAAACCAATTTTGAGCAATTCTACAAGGTTTCACGGGTGTACGCTTTACCCACAAGACCAGAATCTCGGATCATAACAGTATAGAAGGTGACCCTCTGAAGGATCGTGCATTGTGTTGATAAATTCCCCTACGTTGTACGGTTTGGAGCTTCTGGTTCAGGATGGATGTAGCAGAAACTCGCAGCAGCACACCAGCACACCGCAGCAGCACACCAGCACACCAGCACGAGCCTTATGATCCCTGCGCATCCCTTTTGTAGAAGCCCGGGTCAGTACCAAGATCATTCCCTCATCACCCACATATAACTGTAGCATGATATACCCCAAAGCGCTACGCAATTTATTTGGGCCTGTACACAACAATCTCTGTAAACAACCTTACGACCTACTTTCCATGTCATACTCCATGTTCTTTTACATTTGGTTCTCCATTATTCTTCCAATTACAGAATTCTTTAGGTCCCTCAACCCTAAACCCCATTTTTCCCTATATGGCCCCCACATATCCCCTCGAACCCCTTTATACGGGCTTCCCGGCCCTACTCTCTGGACAATCCTAAACCCTAAGCCCTAAACCACCGAAACGCTAAGCCCGAAACCCTGAAATCCAAACCCTAAGCCAGAAATTCTAAACCCTAAACCCTCAGCCCTAAACCCTAAATCCTAAACCTTGGGGTTTTATGAGGTCCTGAATCTCTAAGCCCTGAACTGAGCCCTAGAGCCTTGACCCTTGCCTGGGGTTGGCCCGAAACCTAAGCCCTAAACCCTAAACCTCAAACCCAAAATTCTAAACCCCTAAACCCAAAACCCCTAAACCCAAAACCCCTTAACCCTAAGCCCTAGAGCCTTCCCCCCTCGCCTGGTGTTGCATCCGCCGGAAGCGCATCTCCCGCCAATGCGAAGAGCGGCTCCAGGACTTGGATGTTGGGGAAGAGGCCTCCCAAAAAGGGTTTGGGGTTTAGAATTTGGGGTTTAGGGGTTAGGGTTATAGGTTGAGGGTTTAGGGTTTAGGGTTTATGGTTTTGGGGTTTAGGGTTGAAGGTTTTGGGTTAGGGTTTTGGGTTTAGGGTTAAGGGCTTGGGGTTTGGAGTTGAGGGTTTAGGTTTGAGGGTTTGGGTTTGGGGGGTTTAGGAGGGGACATCCAAAAAAACAAAGGGTTTAGGCTCGTTATGGCTTGAGATATGTATACATATAGGGCGTACGGTTTGGATGCTGGGGAAGAGGCCACAAAAAAGAAAGGGCTCAGTTTAGGGCTTAGAGTTCGAGGCCGATTTTGGTTTGGAGGCTCGATAGGGGGGTTAGGGTTTAGACAGAGGCCTCAAACAAAAAAACTTAGGATTCAGGGTTTAGGATGGCTTGGGGTCTATGTGAAGTTTAAGATTCAGAACAAGGAAAACAAAGGGTTTAGGGCTTGTTATACTTTTTGGTCTAGGGTTTAGGGCTTGGGGTTTCAAGCTTAAGGTTGCGCCAAGAGTTGGGATTTGGGACTTTGGGAAGTCTCTCAATCCAGGGCATCAGGGCTGCACTGGTTGGCAGAGGCTCGGCAAGGTTTGGTATTAAGGAGATAGTGCACGAGAATCTCTTGAAGATTGCTAGTCTAAGAATTTTATGCAGAGCCTGGTGACCCTCAAAGTTGGCATCAGCATGCAGTAGAGCCACACACGATACATTCTAGTTCTTGTCCGCGAATGAAGCAGTAGGGCGTTCTTTGTCGGAAATGTGGCAACCCCTTGGGACACATGATCTGAACCCGATCCTGGGATGAAGTTGGAGCTAGGGCTTATGGGATCTTATTCAAGCTTCGTGAAGCCCGGCAAATCTCATCCAGAAGAACATGCACACATATCCCCTTCGAAGGAAAGCATTTCGACCCCTGTAGTTGCAACTGAAGCTCTGATTGCATAAGGCCCTCATCCCTAAACCTTCATGTCCTGCCGTCCTACTTACGCGCTCAGATGATCCTGAATGTACGGTTTGGGGTTAAGAGTGGCTTAGGGTCTAGGGTAAACCCTACAACCCACAACCCAAGTCCGCACATGCCTGGAGACAGGGCAAGGAGCACGTCGTTCTCAGAGACCTGCCACTTGTCGGACCTTGCAGTGAGGGCGCAGGCGCTAGAGGGGAATGTTTAGGGTTTAGGGTATAGGGTTTCGGGTGTACGAGGGTTTATGAGGGTTTTGTAAGGTACCTTTTTGGGGGCCCCCAGAACAAGGAGTAGAATATATCGGGGTCTATATTGGGGCCCCCATTTTGGGAAAATACCATATAGAATTCAGCACCACATTCCCAACTGCGCATAGGCTCGTATATCCTGACATATCTCTATGTTACCCCTACAACCCCCTTTGAAGGGACCCCAGGCAGCCTTCCCCTTCATGAACAAAAAGTTAACCTCCTTGTATCCCCCTTCATAACCCTTGAATAGTTCCCTAGAATAATCTACGCGCTCCCCCTTTAAGAACGGCTTAGACTCTAGCTTAGATGAGCTGCAGTCAAAACTCCTAGTAACAGTATCACCCTTAATAAGCCCTATAATACTCCCCCGGATGATCCCGCATATAAACCCCTTCAAGGAATTTTCAAAATAGCTCATATCACCCCAGGGGTCGTGAGGAGACTTCAAGGCATCAAGCTCCTGGCAGAGACCCCAAGTGCTGGGTCTGGAGAAACGCAGGGAGGATCACATCTCCGACGCGCTTGTGAGGCACACCTAGGCTGTAGGGTGTGGTAGGGCTTAGGTTTATATAGGATTTGGGGTTCAGGATTCTCGGGTGGGAGACTTAGAGTTTAGAGTTTGGGGTCAAGGGTTCGAGACTCAAGGTTCAGGGCTTAGGGTTGAGGGTTGCAGAAGCACCAAAGCTGCAATTGTTAGGAAAACAAGTGCCAATTTCAAACTGCCATCTTACACTCTGTAAGCCCATCCCCCAGTGGCATCATATATATATATACTAGGGAGAATGTTTGTTATCGGCTTCCTATTCGGTAGTACCCATTGCCGACGCACAAAGACATGCGCAGCACACTTACCTAAACAATGCCAACTATAGCTGTAGAGCACCTTGTTGTTGAAGATGTATGGAGAGTTTCCCCGACTAGAGAGCCCAAATGGCTCATGTGGGGTCCCTCGTCTCGCTAGCACAACATTTTCCCAATATGACCCCTACTTGGAGGCTCGGGGTATAATCAAAATCCAAGTATCACTATTAGCCCCTTTAGTCCCCTAATATATTTAAAACTTGGCGATAAGCATCAGATGTCATTGCATTATGTTTACCTGGAACTTCCAAGTAGATCAAAATATTTCCTGGCCCGTGCAATCCTTGCATGCCCACTTGGAGACACCCACACCGCAAATCCAAAACTCAATCCCCTTTTTGAATGGCCAAGTCCGCGACCGTAAGGCTCGCAGTAGAGCTTCTCATGAACAATCACATCCTCTGCCACGGACCAGCAATAAACAGAAGGACGGCAACGCAATCCATGATAGCGAACTAAACGTCCTAGTACTGATAACCTTGTAGCCTAGCAACAAGAATAGGAACAAAAAGTTAGCAGCGCCAATAGCCCATGCAATTGCACAACAACCGAAGCAATCCGAGTCGCACGACCTCTAGCCGCAATGAATATGTGCGATCGGATGGAAGGTTAGTGGGGTGCAGGGTTCTGATCAAGAAGGCTTTACAGTAAGCGGCTTCAGGCTTAGGACTTACAACGTTTAGTAACAACACCTTAGAAATCAGATGTTCAAGGCTCATGGATTGAGTTTGAGGCCTTGTGGTTGAGAGTTGGACCTCAATGTGCTGAGCTAGATGCTTGGGGTTCAAAGGTTCCAAGGCCGTAAGGTGTGAAGTTATGGGCATATGCGCAGATCTGGTTGCCGCCAATTTGGTTGTACGTCGAGTGCTGAAAGCGGATAATTAAGAACCTTGAATCCAAACATATTGACAGTCATTTTGAGCTGGCTCATGCTCACCAAGAAGCCTCAATAGCAGAAACCACCAAAGAACCTATATGGGTTCAGTACAAAATTGTTCAGGGGCTCCGCTGGCAAGGTCACGAATTTATTCCCCCATGACAACACGGCCCTATGACCTGATCAGGAATCTTGTAGATAATGGCACTATATAGAGAGACCATTATGAGAAGGGCGGATGGGTGAATTTTAGGGGGTGGGATCAATAAATACGAATATATTTGACCACGTTATGACGTCATGTCCTTCTAATGACCCTTGAAACCTAATTGGTCCAAAGGCCCCCACGTCCAATGAATCATGTGGCTACGTCTTTCATATTTGAAGACCATACATACTAACGACCCAAAATCGGGACTTCCTGTTTACCCTGAACCCTTGCAAGCCTCAGTCCTGATAACTTAGAACCCTAAACCCTCACAACACCAAACCCTTACAATCCTTATAACACTTATAACCCTCATAGCCATCATAATCCTCATGATCCTTCTAACCCTCGTAACCCGCATAACCCTCGGAACCCAAGGCTCCACACAGCCCTAAACTGGCCTCAGAACCCCACTAACAATCATGATTTTTGATTGTTATTAAGATTATAAGGTTCAAAAAATCAAAAAAAAATTGGAGGCCCCTAAAGAGCCAAGGTTCAGTGCACTCCGTGGCTTTCAGCAGCTCATTTCGGCGGCCAGACTCCGGGCGCTCCTAGGGAGGCTTAATGGTTGAGGATTTAGTACGGTTTGGGGATTGGGGTTTAGGGGTTTACGGTTTAGGGGTTTACGGTTTAGGGTTTAGGATTTAGTAAGGTTTTGGGTTGAGGGTTAAGGGGTCAGGGTTTGAATCGTTCCCCCTGTCAGTAGCAGTAACCACGAGAAATGCGAGAAGTCATGATAGCCCTTGAATAAGACCCCATGGAGGACAGCTACTGTAACGGGGAATGACCCAAGCTAAGGACTTTGAGGGAGATCTCGCGGCCAGAGATTTCAAAAGCTTAGGTTTTTTGGATGTAGGGAGGTTTGGGGTTTAGACTTTGGGGTTACTAATGTGTAAGCTTTAGGGCTTTAATGGAAGATGAAGGCGGCAACTGGGTTTGCATGAGGTGTTCATGGTGTCTGGGTTAGGGTTCAGGGCTTAGGGCGTAGGGATTAGGGTTCGGGGAACCACGGGAACCCCTATCAAAAACAAGTCCCGCAAGTGCAAACCAGAACAACGCCCCCCACCCTAAACCCTGAACCCTAACCGCAAGCCCTAGACTAAACCACAAGCCCTAAACCTAAACTCTAAACTCCAAACCTAAACTCGAACCCCCAAACGGTTGGGCTAGGGACCCCATCTTAACACAAACCCTAAACCAGGCCCTGAACCCTTTTCGTCCTCCTCCAAGTGGACCATTCCAGACAACTACAGTCGCCCAAACAAACTCGACGCGCAGCGGCTGCGGATTGGTTCGCGAGTCTAGAGTTCCTTGACTTAAGGTTTAGGGCTTAGGGTTGAGGGTTTAGGTTTAGGGTTGGGTTGCTGTTAAGGAACTCAATTTAAGTTACCATACTATGGGTATTTAGTAAGTACTAGGGTTTGCTATTCATTGGTGTAAGGGGATTCAATGAGGGGGCTATACAGGAATACATACCGGTTATATAGGGAATAATGGGAAAAGACAATGGAAACTACCGTTTTGCATGTAGCTCATGGTGCTGCAGGGGCTACGGGAGAGGAGCTTCGTTAATGTTGTGGTCTTCAGAATCATAACTTAACTGTTTAAACCTCAACCCTAATCCCGACCAATAGGAATGTCGCAAAACAGGCAGAGTTCGCACATCAAACGAGTAGCCCGAAGACAAATGTACGGACAGGACGACGTCCAAATCAAGGTTCTAGAGAAGCAATCTTTTTCCCAAAAAAGACACCCGCATCACCCCTGATGAGAAATATTCTCCCTATTACATGCCTGGTTCTACATTCAGATACTACTTTAAGTTGTGTCATGGCGCTTTGGGACTTAGAAATCAAGAATCGAAACTATGTTCCACAGTGACACAGATGATGATACTACGTTGGGAATGTTTACTTCCATAATGGCTGCATCTGTTACATGGAGTGCAAAGCAGCGAAACGTGTCTGTTGGCGAGTCTGTCATAGCGACATAAGAGTAATGTACCAGGAAGTGCAAAAAGTTTCCATTAAGCCCTCACTCTTGGGAACTGAGACATTGGGAATTGAGGCATACGTAGAGGAAGTGAGTGATTGAAATGCTGCCTGAGGCGCCCTTGACCGTAGACTCAAGGTATACAGGGACGACAAGGGGGCATCCCTAGGAAACATACAGGGAACAGCCTACTCAGCTCCCATACTATGGCGGGTTCGCATCGGACTCTTGTCAAGCCCAAACCTGAACGTTGAATTTGGCTGGGCAAGGCTCTTGGTAACTGGTACAAGGAGCTCGTAAGGCCGCTTATTAGCCCTAAACATGAACCCTACAGTTCACCGATCACGTTTTAGGAATTGAGCGCTGAGAGTCTGGAAGCTTGAGTTTCCGGGTGAAGCCGGAGATCTGGGCCTTTGAGGATAAAAATCTGAGGAATACTGGGTTTCGGGCTTAGGGCTGGGGCCTACGTCTCAGGGAGGATACATCCCCTCTAGGTTCAAATTGCCTGTCTCGCCTCAGAGAACACTTCACGATAAAATATCAGACTACCCAAGTCATGACGCAACAGTAACAAGAATTAGATCGCCAGCGGCACGGCCATACCACCAATAGTCCTAGACTCAAATCAACTTCAACCCGCGGCAACAACAGCCTTTTTTCAGCCCCCATGTCCATTGGGCGCGCCCACCGCAAGGCGGTCTTTGGCCCGCGCGGCGCGCACGCGCGCCCGAAGCAAGCAAAGGTCGCCCTCAGCGTTGAGGCCTCGCCTTGTACGTGTCTTGCATCGTATATTGTAATCTTAGATATCAACATTATACTATTATGATCTATATTTTAACATACCATAGTGTAGTACACCATATTTTGTGTATACATATTCACATTTTGCTTTGTGTATATGTGGATCAGCCTTGGGGTTTATGACTTAGGAGGTCTCATTTGGCTCGGGGCTCGGAATGCAGGGTTTGGGACTGTAGGCTGGGGGTTGACTGTCTGAAGGGCTGAGAGCTGCAAGCTCTAAACCACTAGACTACAGCCGTTAGGGTTTAGGGTTTTGGGGTTTAGGGTTTAGGGTTAGGGTTTTAGGGTCTTAGGGTTTTAGGGTTTTCGGGTTTAGGGTTTAGGGCTTTTACCTGTAAAGTGTATAGCCGGTGTATAGCCTCTACATCGTTAGGGAACCTTTTTCATGCGGCGGGCCATACTAGGACCCATCGTCCCCATCACGGCTTCTCTCTTAGGAGATTTTGGGAAGTGGGTGGAGGTTTGGGGCGTCCTGGTTACCCTACACCTTAAACCCTGAGCCCTAAGCCCTAAACCATAAATCCTAGATCTTAAGCAACCTAAATCCGTAAACCGCAAACCCAGATTTCTTTTAAAGGCAGATGGATCTGGCTGTGGGAACGGGGTGAGGAGGAAGTTGCTGGTTGGTCGGGAAAGAAAGAATGGGAAGGGATATGGAAACTGCTACATGGGTGGTTGTCAAAATGATGGTCCCTTTTTGGGTACCCTTAGAATAGGGATCCAAAAAGGGACCATAATTTTGACAACGACCCATATGAGCCGTAGTCTTAACTCCTAATATCCCTTTGTAACATCCCCCCTGCAACACAACCCTTTTAAGGAGTGTAGACTATGGCTCATATAAGGACTCCTGTAGAACTCCATTCCTCCAGTCTCTACTGCCAACCAGGAAGAAAAGGGACTTGGATCCTGTCCAGCATCAAAGGTGGTTCTTGCACTTAGATGGAAGCCTCATGCGATTACGGGCCCCAGGGCATTTCAAATTGCTGCAGAAGCTTTGAAGCAGACATCCCTTCCAGTTTTTTGATTGTTGTACCCAGCTCACATGGAACTCTGACCAACATTTTGTACAGAAGCCCTTCTTGTGCCATCTGTTGTAGGTGAAGGAGACCCTGCATCTTATTTTGAGTTTAGGCCTCAGACATTATGAAGGGTGGCCATCCGCCTGTAATTTGGCAAACCAATGATAAGGAATAGTACCTCATGGCAGAGCAGTGCCCTTGTCCTCCTCTTCCCCTAGACTGGGGCCCCACGAGCAACCGTCAACCTCCAAACAATCATTCCTGACCTTAGTTCTGGGGCCCGAGCAGTTCACATTCCTGGCGGCATTCCTGCGAGCACGGGCTCGCATGCAAAATGTCAGGCTGAGCAGAACTCAAGTCTTTCGGTGGTCCAAGAGCTCTACCAGTACCCCGCGACCAGGATGTTGGGCCGGTCGTTCAAATTCGAGCAACTAGCTAGACTTGCCACTGAGGAATGCCAAAGACGTCCAGATGTTCCCTTAGAGTTCACCCTGATGAAAGGATCTGGTCCACTGATACTGCCCGTTGTAGAACTAAACTCCACCACTAACCTTGGGCAAGGGGCAGGGTCAGATGCAGCTTTACAAGCCGACGACACCACTATGGATTTCCAAGTCTCATGCAATCAAGCTGTTTCTCCTCAGCTTTGTGATTTGGGTTGCACTGAATTGTAGAACATCGGCGACCACCAACCCCCGACCACCCACCCTGAACTGTCCTCCAGGGTCATGTAAGTTGGACTGATGAGACCATATTCGTCGACCTAAGCACCAGCCGGCTGGGCTCAAAAGGGCTCAGGATTAAAGAGTTGTGCCAAAAGTTATAAACTCAGGGTTTAGAATGTCCTGTGGTAGCATTGGGTCGGACAACCTCAATGAGGATCTAGTTCTGATTATGTGTGAAGTATGGCAGAAAATGGTACACTCTGAAACTGCCTAATCCCTAAATAGCCATGTTGGATATTGCCGCGGGGTTGTCTACTCAGTTCATCTCTTCTGCTCTAAACCCTTACACAACTAGCAGATTTAGGCCTAAACCCTAAACCCTAAAATCTAAAGACCCTAAACCCTAAATCCTAAACCCCAAATCCTAAACCCTAAACCCCAAACCCTGAATCCTAAACCCTAAACCCTGGGATGAGAAGAGTCCTAGATGCCGCCGCTCACAACCAAACAAGCTGGGTTCATCATCGCACATTACTCCACGCAGCATCAGACTTCAAGGTTCAGGGTTTAGGGTCGTTAGGGTTTAGGGCTTCAGGTTTAGGGTCTGTAGTGTCTTTAGGGTTTTGGGTCTTTAGGGTTTAGAGTCTTTAGGGTCTTTAGGGTCTTTAGGGTTTAGGGTCTTTAGGGTATAGGGTTTAGGGTCCATTTTGGCACTTGCCAAAGGGCCACCACCCCCCTGTGATCTTCTTTTTGATGAATCCACGCAAATTCGTCTTTAGTTGCAGGGTCACAGGGACTTGGCAAGCATATTTATAACCCCTAGAGAAACCATAGAGTAACCCCAGCTATCCCAATTATTCCTCTACTTACGAAGTTCCTTGACGCTCCAAGAAATGAGCTTGTTCTCTGAGAACTCGGTAGAGACCCGTTCTTTTGGAGATTGTGGAGGCAAGATTTGAATTTGGGTTGCCCTTGATCACTTCCCCTTGGGGCTGCACAGGTCTATGTAGTGAACTGGAAAAGAAACGGAGACTTATGTATTGTTGAGGGTATAGGGCTTTTTGGCTTACATAGACTTCCCAGCGCAAATATCCCCGATACACGTACTACCACTCTGGGGATACTTATTTAAGGGCTTATTGTTAGAGGAGTTGGGGGGTTGATAGTAGACGGGGGTGACAACATCCCCTTGCACCCCGTGAAATGAATGGGGAGCTCCCAAAATTGGAGGCGGTTGTGTTCTGTACCATATTTGGCACCACCAATGGCCCACAACTTGCAGAAGAGCCCATGTCTAATACACAGACCCATAGACCCAAGTGAGCTATAGTCTAAACTCCTAGTATCCCCCTTGATAACCCCTATAGTAGTCCCCTATATAATCCCCTATATAATCCCCTTTATCGAGTTTAGACCCAGAGACCCAAGTGCCTGCTTCCTCTCTTCTGCAAAGTTCTCGAAGATAATTCGGCTGAATTCATCCAGCTCCTCCTCTGCAGACGCGTGGCAGCCCTCTATATGGGGGGGTTCCCAAAATCAGGGGCGCCTTTTTGGGGGGTCCCTATAATAAGGACTATAGCATTTTAGGGTCTATAAGGGGGTCCCCTTATTTTGGGAAACTACCATATTCGGGTTTGAGCTTAGGGTTTAGGGGCTATGTGTTGCAGGCTTCAGGGTCAGTGGACGTGTCCTGCCAGACAGTACACTGTGGCTTAAAAACTACCATATTATGCGTGTATAGTTGATAACAGGGTTTCC